GGTATTTACATTATATAAAAATTAAGATAAATTATTTGAAGGAGTCGCGTCCCATTTCGCAAGAAAATTGTTTCATAGTTACATCTCTAAAAGTATTTGCATGGAAGTTTGCGTGCAGCCATCATGTATTTGTTGTGCAAAGTGCAAGCTTACTGAATTATTTTCGCAATCTCTCATAAGACAAGGACTCCATTGCGTCGACCCTTCTTTGCGACTAGATTCTCTTCCCATTATTTCCTACATGTATTTCTTTGCCTTGATTTCATTCTTTCTTTTCTTCGTTTCTGTTTAACTTTTTGACTTATTTTTCTCATTTTTGTCCCTTTCTTTCTTTACATTTCTTTTCTTTTTTTATATTGATTGACAGGTATACGACCAACGGTTTTGATATATTAGACTAATTTTAGTTCAACCCTGGGAGCCCAACTTAGAACAAGGGAGATTGCTGCATCTTCCCTAATCTACTCAGTAGGGTGGTGTGAGGATGTTATTTCCCTGATCCTTTACTATTGTTGTTCTGTTGTTCAGAGGTCAGTTTATGTATCATTGCAGCAATCTGTGATTGACGATCAAGTTCATTTTGAAGTGAAGAGATCGTGTTCTCGCGTTCTTTTATGACTTCTTCGTGCTGTCGACCAAGAACCTCTAGGGTTGATACCTAACGATAGTGATAGTCACCCTTTAGGAACTAGTCACAGTCAAAAGACATGAAGCGAATTTCGAATACGAATTTCTGATAATATGGTACCTTATGCACGAGGTCTTTACGATTCTGTTCGCTTTTCGTCAGTTGAGCCCTAAGCTTCTCCAGAGACGAGCTGAGGTCGTCTATTTCAGACTCTTTCTGACGCGTTTCACTTTCTTGTTTTTGAAGTGCTTTCTTAATATCTGAAACCATGAAATAAAAAAGCCAAAAAGTGTGAACAATGTCACAAAATCCTTGAAATACACAATTTCGCCATTTTACCGTGAATTTTATTTTCTCTTTCTTTCAGTTGTTGTACAACGTTCTTTCGTTCTTGTTCCAGCTCTAAAAGCTGTTTCGTTGCACTAATAAAGTAGAATTGAATAGTTGTGATGGAAAGTTTACTGAGAAAACAATCAGCTGGCTTACCAGTCATGTTGGCTCTTTAAATTGTCGTTGTGTCGTCGAAGCATTTCACTCAGTTCAGACAAAGCTTTGTTTTCATCTTGCGCAGTCATTAAACTTCTTTGGTTGGTCTCAAGTCTGATTTAGAATTTCACATGAACTCTCGTTATTATGGACACATTTAAGACCGTCATGAATTGTCCGCAATAAAGGGTAAATTTTTAGTACTTTCATTGGAGCGAGTACAGTCAACTCTCGCCTTACGGACACCCCGCTACAACGGACACTTCGATATTGCGGACAATAAAATACTGAATCCCCGGCGAAAAATACAAAGAAATGACTGAAAGTAGCTCTCGTTACTTCGGACTCTCGCTACTGCGGACACTAAATTACGGTCCCGAGGGTGTCCGTAATAGCAAGAGTTGACTGTAATTCGATTTCAGTGTGCGTAATATCGGGGTGTCGGTCGCCAATACGAGAATTGGAACTGTGAAGGACAACCCCTCACCTCTGTGATTGCTCCGCAANTGAAGATGAAAACTCGTATTTTTACCAGTAATGCAGAAAGCTTAGCTTCATATATATCCATTATTTCAGATGCTCTAGGATCTTTGATCTATAAAAGACAAACAGGTTTAATATAATAATATAATAATAATAATAAGTGGTAGGGATTATAAGCATTGCAATTTCTCCCTTGATGTCTCCCCTGTAGGTACAGTAACCACTTCATATGTTACAGTAATTTCCTAACAATAACCTTGATCCCAGGCCCTTATCCCTTCGCTTGGACAAGGGCCTGGGAATGAGCTTTCCCTAACAATACTGATACCCATTTATACTGAGGGTAGGTATAAAATATTACATCAAGCCTCATCCAACATGCTCACCTCAAGACCATTTCTCATCTTGTCAATCAATGACTCTATGTTCGCCTCATCAATATTACTTCTATTTTGTAATGAAATATTCTTCTTGTTACTACTGGTATCCATRGCAACAGGACCRCGYGACTCAATTGATGACTTGGTGTGRCTATTACGAGTTGGTGATGGAGGAGGACTGACATCRTCAGCTGGTYTCYGAAGCAACATGAGTTCATTTTTATGAGCAGAATTGTTAGAAGCCATCACTTCACCAAGCCTGGAAATGAAGTGGAATTTAGTCTATGCTGATCATGCCTTCTAGAAAGGTTAATCTACTGGTAGAGATTGGATGGCTTCACATTGAAGCATTTTCAAGTTTACTTCTAGAAGCATTGATCATTAAAGTCATAGCATTTAATCTTTCGTTATAGTAGAATCATTACGGTAGCATCAATATTTTGATCATTACTTCAAAGAAGCATTGATCATTACCATCAATATTTTGATCATTACTTCTAGAAGCATTGATCATTACCATATCATCTGGAAGTCTGGCAATGCCAAGGCATCACTAAGAATCTTTAGTGATTTTTGTACATTGTCTCTTGTAGAACTGTTCATTCCATGAGCAAGTAAGGGTACAAGTCGTTGATCTTGTAATGCTGCRGGCAGACCATCACTGATTGCAGGTACAGTATCCTTYAAACCACACAAAAGGTTCAGCATCTTTAAAACAACTTCAACTCCTTCCTCCCTAATARAAACATTGAAAAGAAAWTGTTACAACAAAATAAGCAATTCCCAGATTTAGAAGTGCTCTGTGAGTAGCTTGGACAATAGACTTCAYTCAATCAAAGCCATGGGCCCACAACMTYCATTCTACCCTCCTCTTCAAATGCCCRACAAAATTTTMMMTTATTTCACAATTTTTTTKACCAATCTCTARMCTAAAAGTTGTAATAACCTACCCCCAGCTTGTAGCAACAGAGTTACGAGTACCAAGATTATTATGTTGATATTGGTATTCAATCACTTTCCAGCACTGCTCCAGTTTAAGGTGTTTTATTACTGCCTTCTTGAGAGATGCTTCATAGCTTACAAGTACATAACRTTAARGAACAAACACTTTGGGCTACCTGTGTAGTATAGGCCATTTACTCAGGGGACTGGGACAAGTAATTTCATATGTTTGTATCTTTTGTTTGATTCTGTTGTTTKATGAAAATAAAGACACAATGGATGGTATCATGTGTCTGCCATTGTATATGTAAAAATGGATGATAATTTCAAAAACAGCCTTTGTTAACACAATGTGAAAAGGTGTTGGGTGCTAATCGTCCTTCATGGCAGCACRGGTGCTGAATTGCAAAAGACACAGCTTGACGCGCTCTCAAGTCAAAGTGCTACATTTTATTACAGACACATTTTACATACACTTACACATAGGCGTGCTGCCGGCTAGCAGCTTCCTTTACATAGCAACGTCGTCTGAGCATGGAACACAGCAGATACATCTGTAGGAATGGTTCGTTTTTACTGAGGGAGGAAAAAACGGAAAAGACCCAAAAAGACCCTTGAAGCAAGGCAGAACAAAGGAACTCAAGTCACGTATGGCGCCCGACCGAGATTTGAACAGAGTCCACAGAGGTAACAGGCCAGCATTCTAACCGCTCGGCCACCCTTGCTTCATTATAATACAGCATATCATTAATCAAAAAGGATATCAGAGAGAACATCTAGCGCCTTGCTGATTCTTGCACACCTTGTTTTAAGTATAAACCCATCGATCTCTCTTGGTGGTGCCATTAGTTCCATTAATAGTGGTACAATGACTGAGACTCGAGTACAGACTTTCTTCATAAGGTTACCATCTATTAACTCCTAAATATTACACAGAACAGCTTCATAAAGGTTGATCTGCATATCGTAATAATTGCAATTATTTGACAATGCCAATATATCTAAGTGGCACAAAGCACGAACTAAAATTTTCTGTCTGTTTGTCCATCTATTCACCCCACCCAATCCCCTGAGGGGCAAAATGTGGATGATTTTCCTWTCCCCTCAGGGTGAGGATGAAGAACAGATGTGAAGAATTGTTCAACTTAGTGTATTACATAGAAACAAATTAAGCCCACCTCATACATCTCCTTTAAGAAATCAAGAGCATTGATTGACACCAATGAATGGGTGTCCACAGGCTGACTTGCCCAGTAGATGACTGCATTGAACATTTCATTGATAGTGTCTTCACCCTTMGCCTTGGCAACCTCAGAACAMATAAATGTCTTGCAAAGAATGTTCCTTAAACCACTGACAGAGCAGAAAGTCAATAGGAGTTCAAAAAGCTGTAATTGATAAAATAAAAAAATGAAAATATAAAAAGATAGTAAAGATGTTTCCAAATGAAACTTTATTTTAAATTTCTAACCTTGGATGCTTCTTCTGCATTTGTTGAGCTAAAAATAATTAAAATCTGCTCCATGTAGAATGGAAGATGTTCATGGCTGTAAAATAAACATAGTACAAAATATCAAAAAAACAACAACATTGGAATTTATATGGATAAATGGATGAAAGAATGGATGGATGAAAAACCTTTTAATGAATAACCACAAAACAGAATCCAATGGACACTACTTACATGACCAGTGACTGTTGTATCTTGCTACTTTCCAGTAAATCAACAAATAAATCCACTGAGTACTTCCTGGTCAAAGATCCTTCTCCATTAATTAAAATATTGAAAATAAGTTGAAAAGTTTGGTGGATATTCTTGGCATTGAACAACTGGAATTACAATAAAAATGTGCATAG